TCCTGCTGATAAAGTGCAGCAGCAACAGGGCTTCCACGTGGCAGATTTCCCCTTGATTTCCCTGCCTCAAGTCGCCAGCAGTGCCCCCCCTCCCCTGGACCACTGGGGCTTTTCTAAAGATTTTTACATCAACAATTGAATATCATTATATTGATATACTGCTATAAAATTATGAGTAACAGAGTCTCGGAATATCCAGATTTATTTTTTTAAAGTAAGTCTCCAATTTCTTCCTCTTATACTTTTGCAATTAAGGGGAGACTTTTTGCTGTTGCTAAATTAAAGCAGGAAATTCAGAGAACCTGTTTTTTGTTGTTGTTCAGTCACACAGTCGAGTCCGACTCTTTGCGACCCCATGGACCAGATCACGCCAGGCCTTCCGGTCTTCCACCGTCCTCTGAAGTTTGCTCAACTTCATGTTCGTTGCATCTATGACACTGTGTAACCATCTCATCACCTGCCGTCCCCGTCTTCTTTGACCTGTTACACATATATTTATAATAGTATATCGATATACTAATATTCAATTACTTTTTTTTAAGAAGCCCCTCCAGTGGTGGGGGGGAAGGCTGGAGCAGAGACAGAATCAAAGGAAATGGCTGCCATGTGGGTGGGAAAATCTGAAATTTCCTAGCCATCCACACTTCACTGTGAACTTTTCCCAAACTCTGCAGCAAAGCAGGTTTGAGAAAGATCACAGAAAAGCTGAGGAAACCCTGGGAGATGCATGGATGCACCATGATGCCGTAGGAAAGCTGGGGGGGGGGGGGGAATCTTCCCAACAGCCCTGAACTAAGGGCCATGTGGAAAGGGCCACTATCTGAATCAAGTTATTGGCAATAGGAAACACTGATTAGATGTTTTTTGAAGAAGGTTTTGTTAAAACACTTCTGCTGTCTGAGCTTTCATTTAAGCACATATTAATTCATTTTGTTGCCAATCAGTATTAACAGTAACCAAATCATTCTTTTGCTTTCCACAGAAAATACGTCATTTCCTGTAAGCACACAGAGGTACCTTTGTCTGTGCCTTGGGACCAAAGTAATAAGGTAAAGTAAATCTTTAGCTTTCCTGGTCCATTGCAAGTTTCTAACTTCTGCTTCCAGAAAGAGCCCTTTAAGGGCCCCATGCAAGAGAAAAGATTGCCATTTATTTATTTGTTTGTTTGTTTATTTGCATTTTTACCCCACCCTCCCCGCGAACGGGCTCAGGGCGGCTTACACAGGGGCATAAGCCCATACATAAAACAATATAAAACAGTAAAAACCATTAAATCACAACAAATAGATAAAGTGCTCCATACAGACAAGATGGTCTCTGAGGATGGTAACAATAATTTCCTTAGGTGAAATTGTCCTATCGATGGTCCAAGCCAGTCCAGCAGCATCAGTGCCATGCAAATTTATGGCTGTAAGAATGCCATGTAGCACCCCCGCCACCCCAGAAAAGATAAAAGTTCTGCAGTGAGCCAAATGGCAGCCCATCGTCCCCTTCTGCTATGTGGGGCTAAAAATGGCATTCTTATAACATCTGAAAGAGGATTAATGGCCGCATTGCTGCCCACAGAAGGTATGGTAATTCCATAAAGCTTCTCTGTGCCACAGCTGTCTTAAGGAACAAGGGCCCTCTTGTGGGCAGTAGCTAAAAATGCTACCCATGAGCAAAGTTGAAGCTAGGCTGATGTATTTTGCGGTGATTTTGAAATTGATTGACAGAATGCAAGCTGGCCTTGGAGCACTAGTCGAGAATCTATAATGAGTTTTCAGCCATACTGGAAGTTCAGACTGTGTCTTGGAAAATTAGACATTTAGAAGTGATCACATATGCCTTGTAGTAAGTGGGAAATACACTGAAATCTCGAATAGTTATTCCAGTTAGAAGATTTGGCTTGCAGTAGCTCCCGGTTTTATTTATTTATGGTTGTTTAAAATACATGCTGCCTAACATATGGTCTCCAAGGTGTAGAAGAAGTTAAAATGTAGAGTATAAGATACAATCACAATGCAAGCAGTAAAACGTAGGAAGCCCGTCCCATCCTGCTGACTGTGTTTAACTCACTCTGTGCAATCCACCTTGAGTCCCATTGAGAAAGGTGGACTATATATAACATCAATGAAAAATAAATACTTTTTTTTATTAGCAAAAAGGTTTTCTGACTGCATTGGCAGCAATTACAAAAATAGCTGGCAGCACATACAGATATCCCATTTTCCTTTAAAGGAAAGTCTTAATATTTATACAGAAGGAAAGGGAAAAGGACATTGTCTCGCTCTTCCCTGGGGACAGAGTTTCATGGAAAGGGTGCTCCCACTGGGAGGGTCATTCTCTTGGTAGCCAATCACCTTGTTTTCATGGACTGGCGACCTGGAATAGGGTGTTTGCTGCTCTGGGAAGGCTTGTATAGAGCTAGTCAGTCCTTCAAATATTCTAGTGCAAGAACATTTAGGGATATAAATGCAAAATCAGCACTTTTGTTTTAAGCACTGGGGAGAAATATGTTTATTTTATTATCTCATTCTTATAATATGAGGAATACTTAATATCCCTAAAATTCTACATTCTTCAGTAAAGAAATATGTATGCCAAAAACAATCAATCCAGAGATTCAGATTTGAAATTGACAGAAGCTCAACCAGTGAGGTGTAGTGATTAGAATGTCAGACTAGGATCTGTGAGACCTGAGTTCAAATGCCTGCTCTGCCATAGAAGGTCACTGGGTGACCTTGAGCCAGTCACATACAGCACCTCACAAGGTTGTAGCTGTGAGGATGAGATGGTAAGAATGGTGTTGTAAGCTGCTTTGTGCCCATATTGGAGAGAAGAGCAGGATATAAATATCTAAATAAATTATTATAGCATATTGAATCTGAACCATGCCACTGACTCCTATCACTTTACTTCCTGTACTTTGGGAAGAAATTCTATGAAAACAGCTAAAGATCTACTAAATTTTCTAAGATTTCATAATTGTGAAGTACCCAAAACTGCAGAATTCATATGTTGCAACGAGCACGAGGCACCATTTTAAATATGCCTTCATCACTATCTGCTTATTCCTAGAGCACTTAAATGTGTACTCTGTGCTGTACAATACCTTAAAGGCCATAACCTGCCCTTTACAGTTGATTAAAGATGGAGATAAGAGGAATGGGGAGAGGAGGGGAAGCGCCCGGTGAAGACAAATGAAAACAGAAAGAAAGCAGGAACTCTCTCACAATGTGTTGCACTTCTCTGTGCTTTCTGATGCAGGTTTACCTGAGTTACAACAACGTTTCTGCACTGAAGACCTTAGTTGCCAAAGCAAACTGGGTGCTTGCCTCCGAAAGAGACAAGGTTAGATACCCCTTTCCCGGTGCTGTCCAGGTCACAGTATGTGCAGTCAAGTGCCCAACCTCTTACCGAAGGCCTGTCCAGACACTGGCTGCTTTGTAGAGATGCAGTTGTCACCGCCCAGTCCCGATGATGTCACCCTAGTAAGCCCTTCCACTGAGGGAGGGGAGTGACCATTCCCAAGCACTCCAGTGGCGGAACGAAGCTGCTGGAAAACCACAGTTCTTGGAATGGGGCATACTATGAAAATATGTGCCTGTCTCCCATGCCCCCATCAGATAGCATCCTTCCAATGCTGGAAGGCATGTTGCAGTGCCCTGGCTTGCCTACTTGTCACCATGTCTAATGCTCAGTCATGTCAAAAATGTTTTCCCACAGCTGCCCTTTTTTTTTGCTGAGACTGGAATATGCTCTTTCCAGCAGGGAAGTGCATGTCCTGCTCTATGAAATAGATTATATGCTATCCCCCAGCACTAAGGCTATCATTATCTGGGGACAGGGATATTGCTTGCTGGTTTAAGGAAAGGTTGAGAGGAAAGGTTCCTGTTGTCTTGAGAGCCATCTGGAAAGACCCTGATAGCTTTCCTTGAGAGTTGTGTTCCCTATATCAGTTGAAATGTATAGCCACTAATGTCTTCCAAAGCTCTGCACATACTTCAGAATCTGCAACGCTCAGTTTCCCAAGGCTACGCCAATGAAAAAAGTGGACTAAAGGTAGCAGCAGAGTGGGAGATTTTGCAGCCAGCTACAATATTCTGTTTGTGTGGGGCAGGTGGAGAGTTTGGATGCTGCCTGAGAGAGAGGGACTTGCATACCGTATGGATTCTGGCAGGGTTCTTCAGAGCCTTCTAGACATTTCGGAGGATTGGGGAAGAATCTTGGTTCGCAGGAGGATGCCAGGCAATGCGTTTGTACTGCTGCTATGGTGGGAGGATGAGGGCAAGGAGATACCTAGGGCTAGCACTCTTAAATTCTAAAAACAGGTGCTTAAAATCCTTGCTGCTTGGTGATAGTAGTAATAAGTGTTTCATTGGCTTTAAAAGGGGGTTAGGTATGCTCATGGAAGACTGGTGCTTCATTAACCATTAGCCATGATGGTTAAATGCTGTTCAGAGGCAATGTACCTTTGAATTCCCTTGCCATGGACAGATCACTACCTGATCCAGTTCAGACTTACTGCTTCCTCTTTACTCCGCAGGGATGCTAGACCCACTAAGATGGTCCGCTCCAGGCACCTGATGGATCCTGATGGGTTCCTGTCAGTGCTTGGGGATTTTTCCACCTTGGTTGCTGAGGATTCTCTTGAGGCTCTGACCACTCTCTGGAACAGGGAGATGGCCCAGACTGTTGACACAATTGCCCCCAAGTGCCCTCTCCCCCTAGACAGAGCCAAACAACCTTCCTGGTTTACTGGGGAACTGATGGTGATGAAATGGGAAGGGCCATGGCTAGGGCTAGAGCAACCCTGATTGAACGTGGCATAGAGTCTATATTGAAGCCTGTTCTGTGGCAGTGACAATAGAAAAAAGGCAGTATTTCTCTGCCACCTTTGCATCTGCATGTAATTGTCCAACTGGGCTGTTTCGTGTGGTTTGGGGACTTTTACATCATAGCCCCAAGAATTTGGACTCTGACCACATAGCAGCCCACTGTGATCAATTTGCCACTTTTCAGACAAAATTGGTCAGACTTGCTCTGGGTTAGATGCCAGCATTAATGTATGTCCAGATGATGTGCCTTTGGAATCTGCTTCTTTGGGTTATATCGATACTTTTTAGCTGGTGGATCCACCTGTGTTCTCAGTCCTTGCTAGGAATGGGCACGAACCAGCTCATGAGCCAAAATTTGGGCCAAACTTGGGCCATTTTGGAGCTCAGGAACTCCAGGGAATACGCATTCCCCGAACATTTACTGGTCTTTTTGGGTACTGCAGGGTTCCATCTTAATCTCCCATGCTATCTAATATCTGTATGAAGCCATTGAAAGAGGTGATCAGAAGGCATGGGCTGCAATGTCACCAATATGTGGATGATACCCAGCTCTACCTTTCTCTTCCACCAAATTCCAAGGATGTTGTTGATGTGCTACATGGCTTGGGACTGGGGTATATGAAGGACCGTCTTTTCCAATATGTTCCTGCCAGGGAATTAAGATCTCAGGGAGAGGCCCTCCTGACTGTCCCACCAATTAAAGACATTCATTTGGTAGGTAAACGAGAGAGGGCCTTTTTGGTGGCAGCCCCACAATTACAGAACAATCTCCCCAGAGAGATGCGCCTGGTCCCCTCATTGGTGATATTCAGGAGGCAGTTGAAGACCGTTTAGGACAACATTTGTTGTTTAGGACAGCATTTTGATTGATTTAGCTTTTATTACCAGCAGTATTATTTGGAATTTTAAAATGGTGGCTTTTATGGGTTTTATAATTGTTGTTTTTATTGTGTTTTAATAACATTTTACTTATTCTATAAACCCTTGAGTTCCACAAGGGATAAAGACGGCTAATAAATGTTTTAAATAAACAAATAAATTTCCAGTTGCTAGGGAACAACGGCAGGAACTTCTGGGGGCACCTGGTTGGCCACTGTGAGAAGGAGGGTGCTGAAATAGATGGACCCTTGGTCTGATCTAGCTGGGCTCTTCCCATGAGGTTATTGCCTGTTGCACTTCTTGAGCTAGGTTGCGTCAGTGGTGTCACCAAAGGGCCTTTGGCAGACAGACAACTAAGCTTTAGTCCTTGCTGAATCTACAAGAGGCTTTGGTGTTTGCAAGTGTCATTACTTGTTCTGTATCTCCTGTAACAACAAAACTCCTTCAGCTGTGCTGTTGTTGAAAAGAAATTTTTTGTTAGGGATGCTTTAACTGACTCTTGGTCTGCACTGTCTAAGGTCAAGATGTATATGCTGGAGGAAGATAAATTCCTGTCTATCAGAATAGAGATGACCGTCTGCATCGATGCCAAGCAGGCCTTCCTGCTGCTTTCGGACATGAGACGCAGGCATGAGTGGGATGAGCATTCCGTGTAAGTGCTTTGTACAAGAGGCAGGTTGTCATAGCTGTTCTTTCGTTAACAGCAAGGTTCCCAGTGTTCTCTCTTGCAACATAAGCCATCTTATTGCCCACTTAGGCATTATCTTTGCAATAGCAAGGAGTAGAAGGTAGTGTGTGTGTTTAAAAACAAAATACCCAAAAGCTAAAGGTTCTTAGCTGGATTCTGTTCTCAGTGCCATGTTCTTTTCTCCTGCATCATCATAGGGCACTGACAGACCAAAATGGGATATGGCATCCTGAGTTGTCAAGAGAAAGGCGGGCTTACAGATATTTTAAATAAATAAATATAGAGATAGGCGAGTCACTGTATTAAAAATGGGGGGGGGGCTGGATGGGGACTAGGACGACTCAGTATAATTCCCTCTTTCTTACTGTCCCACACCTCCATTTTAAGCCTCCCTCCCAGGAAGGGTTATCTGATTCAGGAGTGGGAGACTTCAAGCTTGATTTCAAGCTTTTTTTTCCGCAGTCAATGAGTTGGAGGGAACTAGCTGTGAAATAGCTGTGCCTCAGTTCCGAAACGGTTCCCCTAGAGGGCAGTGTCAGTCACAATTGCTTGCTGTGTACCTCAGCCAAGCACTGGGATATACGCTCCTCAAAGAACAAATTCACAACTGAATTACTGTACATTTGGGGTACAATATTTGTGTAACTTCACAAACTGTGGCTTACTGGCAACCAATTAATATTACCATTTTTCTAATGAGGAACAGTGAGGCTGAGAGAGATGACCATTCCTAAACTGCCATTTATCTCAGCATTCTTATTTAGGAATTTACTAGAGAGGAGTGGCTACAGTGTGGCCAAGGAGGAAAAGCACTAGACTGCTGAGCCTAACAATGGAAGGCAACATGTTGGGGGTTGCCTAGCTTTAAGCCTGGCAACTCCCTGGGAAACATGCAAAGGGGAAAACATTATGCTTGTCCTGAAAGCTAAATTTAAGCCAGGGAGCAAAGGCAATTGGAATCTCCCTTTCACTTAGGAGCTTCTGGAGATCCACCACAAAACCAGTCCAGGATCTACTGATTGATCGTGATCTGCCTTTTTCCTGGCCCTGGTCTGATTGTTGTTTCTGTCTGGCTTTTGTATGACACAACCTAAGTTGTTTCACAAATACTCCAAAATATATCTGCCTTTATTTTGACTGTGCACACACGTAGCTTCTTGTTGGTTATGAGACGTTATGTAGAAATAATTTCTGATTTCCTTGGATTTGTCTTTTTTAAAAAATCCTTTTTTTGCAGACGTGCTGAGCTGGTGCAACAAGTTGACAAAGATGATGTGATCTATCATGTAATTAGTCGAACCATCAGTGAGGAAAACAAACCTCAGGACTTTGTCATCCTAGCATCACAAAGAGAACCTTGCAGCAAAGGGTATGTTTGGCAAGAACTGCTGGAGCAGCAACTGACACTCAAAGTCATATCAAGGCTCATATCGGCTTTCAGAATCTTTTTCTAAAAGCCTTGAAGGTTATGATGGTTTCTGATTTTTAAAGAAGTTTATAAAACTGAAGGCGGCAGGACTAGACAAAATAGCTCTATGTGTTCCTAGGTAGCTTACCTTCACGCTGAAGGCGGCAGGACTAGACAAAATAGCTCCTAGGTAGCTTACCTTCACGTAAATAGCCTAAGGATCCTTTGTTCTTGTTTTAGTTTGAGAGTAGAGGAAAAATACTGCTAATTGCACTTGCCCTAACCAGATTTCCTTTCCTTCTAGTGATCCATATGTTGTAGCATTCAGATCTGTCACATTACCAACACAACCAGCACAGCCAGAGTACACCCGAGGAGAGATCTTATGTTCTGGCTTCTGTATTTGGCAGGAAACAGAGGAGCTCACCAAGGTAAGCATTTAGATTTCCAGGAGTATAGTAGAGCAGCCAGGGGTTGGTTTTAATACTCCTCCTAGACAAGGTTTGAGGTTTACACCTCTAAGGCATCCTAAAAGAGACCTAAGCCACGAAGATGCCGCTTCATACACGGAAAGGCAGCCAAGTGGTTTGCCATGCTGCCTTGTAATGTTTGCAATAGGTTTGAGAGTTGCTGCTTTAGGATATTTGTAGTATCCATAAATAGTTCAAGACATGTTGGTGCTTAAAGCAGAAGATCTGTGGTGCCTCTTTGCATTGGGGGTAAAAATGTAATTATTGACAATTTGCAACTCTGAGATAAACTATCTCACCCTGACTAATGCCAGGGCCAGTCCTGGTAATACTCTCATACCATCATAAAAGAAGAATGTTTTACACAAGCTAAGCTTTAAAACTGAGCTTGGGATCAGCTAGCCCACCTAGGTGGTAACTAACAAAATGTGTTGGTTTCCAGGTGTCGTATTACAACCAAGCCACACCAGGTGTGTTGGCCTACATCACAACTAACATTGCTGGGTTGTCCTCGAGCTTCCATTCCACCTTCCAAGCCTGTGAGCAGTTCCTCCAGAAGCACAAAGACGATGTCTCTGTCAGACTTCAGAATCTTTAACTGCAAAGTTTTATCTGTATAGTCTCATGATGAACATGGATGTAGACACTGAAGTGATCTTTCTGTATTTGTGAGAGGAAAGAAACAGGCTTGTTCAAATACATAAATTACATAGGCCAAGGTTGTGGTAGAGGACCATGTTATTGGAGTATGATCAGAATGAGAAATCGTACTCAGGAAAATAATTATTGGAATCTTATAGGTCATGGTTTGTGCACCTTCTCTATTCAGGATGCAGCACATGAAGATTTTTCTTGGATTATGTGTGTCCTTCATATCTGTCTTGACTTCTTTTGAAGTCCTTTATTTAATTGATAGGAAAATCTGATTATAAAGGGATATATTAAAATGGACTCCTATTGCCTTATCCAGAAGAATAGGTGCTATATCAGTGAAATAAAAAAACAAACTGTACAGGAAATAACTTTTTATATTGCATCAGTGAAAGTGAAACTTCCTCTAAAGTGCCTTATACCAAGGAAACGAACATTCACAAGCACCAATAGTGCAAATTCATGGGAAGAATTATTCTTTATTGGAAAGGGTTTACAGACTTTTACACAGGGCTTGGTGGTATGTATTCTGAGCATTGGAGTGCATCATAGTGCATCTGCCTTTCGAAACCTTGGGTTGCTTTACTTCTGTGCACTTTACACAAACACAGCAAGATGTCAAATAATGTCACGTGTGATGAGAATTGGAACAACTAGAATTTCAATAATCCTTTATGAATGTCTCTTCCTTAGTCTTCCTTGAATGATGGAGTTCTCTATTATTTCTTGATCAGTGCAAGCCTGAGGGAGATTCTTTAATCATAAAGGAATTGTTCTTCTCACAGAATTCTGGAAGATGCTCCTTTTGTTCTTTGATCACTAGACAATTGTGAACTGAATGTATGATCACCTTTCTGTGCATTCTGTTTGCTGCTAGATCGGTCTTTCCTTTATGGACCAGGACTTCCATCAAGTTTGTCGATTTTGGCTTTGTCTGTCTTCCATTGCTGGTCAAGATTATGTACATTTGTTGAAATAAATGGCAAGAACACTGCATTTTAAGAAAAACAAACCTGAGTTTGTCTTTGTCATGAAAAGTCTGCTCCATTGCTCCCCAGAGGAGTCCCTACTTCATAATTATGTGCAAATTCACTCCTTTGTGCTCTCACCATGCTACAGAGGGCTTTATGTAAAGACAACCAAAGCCCATGCACACATACCCATGTTTTGATTGTAGCAGCATACTGGTGACTCTGTTTGTAAAAATTGGTATCCAGGACTGAGTGCCACAGAATATAGCAGCAGTGTTAGTGGTGATTGTGCATATGGATTTGGCGTTCCATGACTAAGACACACTTCTACTCTTTCACTGTAGGTTGGGAGTAGAGGTGAGTTCTGGGTCTGGAAAGGCTGAATGCTGCTGCTTGTAATATTCTGTCCTGTAATATTTGCTATATTGTAGAGTCTATATTTCTGCACGTTATTACATTGGTATTTCCACCTTCCTTCCGTCACGGAGCTCAAGGCGATAGATATAGGGTTTCTAGGAGGTCACCCATCCTGCATGGTTCTGACCAAATCCAGGCCACCTTGAGGTTGCTGTATCATGTGCCCTCCACCATACCCTAGCCCCCCCCTTTATGTGACAAATTAAGTTGGTTCAACTTTGTCTCATTAGATTGTCAAGATTTTCAACACCAGGTCATTAAAATACTTGGTGAACCTGCCCTGCCAAATAGGATGGTCTGCGCATTCCCTTTGAATAGATAGCATTATCATAACACCCACCTCAATCTATGACGAGTCTGTCGGAGTCCAGTGGGTAAAACTCCTCTAACTGTTTCCAGTTAGAATTTTTCTTGTAGAATTGACTGTGGAAAGACAGGAGTAAAATCAGCTCCCTTTCCCTCCTGTAGGGAACACTGTTGGCTAAAATAATAGTTTACACATGCTGTACCTCCTCTGATATCAGTGATGGTTATTTGCTATTTGAAATTTAGATTGAACCTGACTCTGGATCTGAATTTATTGAGCCCATGTTTTAGACTGCCAGACGAGCTTCAAAGAAAAAGAAGGCAAAAGCACACCACTGCTGTTGAGCCTAGACTTTAGCTAGGCTCTTGTACTGAAGTTTAGAAACATCCCAAATTGGAGCCTTTGCTCTGCATAGATTATCAGAAATTTCTCAGTGTGTCCCCTGAGTTAATGGGAAATATTACTTATCTCAAAATTAAATGGAAGTCCTAAAATTTCGCTCAATACAAATATAAGAAGACCTCAGTTTCTGGTGTTTTATCCCTATTTGTTGCAGCAGCAAAGGGGCAAAATATTTGTAGTTCATTAAAAAAAAAAAAAAAACACCAGATGGCTTTTATAACCCAAAATAATATCCTTTGCAGCTTTACTAATTAAAGCCACCTCAGCAGGATAGTCAGTGTTATTGAATGGCCTGTAAGTTAGACAGAATAACTGCATCTAATTCTGATCACGGTCAGTGTTCAGAATGCAGATCAAAAAATCCACAAAATGAGACCATGTAGAGAGAAGGGTTTCCCCGCCACAGATTTGGGTATAGCCCCCAGGGTACAAAAAAAATCTTAAGGGGAAAAAAAGGATGGATTTAAAATTTCCTCCAAACCAACATGTTGGGGGTTGCCTAGCTTTATGCCTGGCAACTCCCATAAGAAATGAAAGCCTGCTAGGCGCCCGGTAGGTTCGGCACTAGGAGGGGAAACAAGACTAGTCCTGCTGTGCTGTAGGCCCACAGCTTTTTAAACGGCACAAGTTCGGCTCTAAAATGGTGATGTCCACAGGCCTAACCTATGGATTTTGTAATGCCTAGTATGACTCTAATTCTTAGCCACTATCCTATATCAGCTACATGTGATTAAACATAAATATAAACTCTATCAGCTATGGAAGGCTCTCAAGTTATGCAGGGCATGATGGCTAATTCTGACATAGACTGCAAGAGTTAACACTTTTTCAAATATTAATAACCATAGGACTTTTCGAAGAAAGATTAGGCTTGGCTAAAGATTCTCACAAGCTCTGAGGCTAACGGAATTCAGCAGGGCATATTCATTGCCAAGGGCTAGTTATACATTTTGTGGGAGATCCATGATTAATCTGTCAACATTTTGGATATATGTAGCTTTTAAACTGATTTAAATATAGGTGCTTTCCTTCTGTGCATGGAATGGCCCATTCTCAAAATAATCCCAGGTTAAATACATTCATTTCTAGACACCAAATTTCTAGGCTGAAATCTGTTTCTGGTGTAACGTTCTGCTGTTCAAGCTGGTTTGGGTACATGTAGCTTGGACAAGGTAGTCAGCGGCTTTAGCTAAGAGAGTGATAATTTGTAGTTCATTTTGAATTTATTTATTTATTTATTTATATTTATATTTATTTATTTGTTTGTTTGTTTGTTAGACTTTTACCCTGCCCTCCCGCCTAGGCAGCTCAGGGCGGCTCAGCCTTGTAAATGAGCCTACATAAATCCTAAAATTTTATTAGCGCATATATTTACACTAGTTATTCTATTAAAAGGTAAAGGTTCCCTTGCTTGAAAGCCAGTCGAGTCCGACTCTAGGGTTGCAGTGCTCATCTCCGTTTCAAAGCCGAAGAGCCAGCACTGTCCGAAGACGTTTCCGTGGTCATATGGCCGGCATGACTAAACACCAAGGCGCACGGAACGCTGTTACCTTCCCACCGAAGTGGTACCTATTTATCTACTTGCAATTTCTTGCTTTCGAACTGCTAGGTTGGCAGGAGCTGGAACTAGAGACGGGAGCTCACTCCGTCATGTGGCACACTCGGGTCTCGAACTGCTGAACTACTGACCTTCCACAGCCTGCAGTTCAGCATCTTACCCACTTGAGCCACCGCAGCTCCATCCTATTTCTATTCTATTACCTGACCGGAAATAGTCCTTTGTGAAAGCTTCCTTGTCTAGTCACTTGGATGCAACCCGGAAGGTGGTTCTATTGGATGCCTTCAAGAGGTAGTCATGTTTACAGGTCTCTGGTGCTTCTGATGTGTGAAATTATATGCAAATGTTTCATGACCTCACACTGCCATTCCTCTATCTTGGCTGAGGCATTTGTCTTGCAATCAAACAGTAAAATTTAATACTCACGTGCCTTCTCTTTGAACTGAGACAAAACAGGATCATAAATGTCATAAAAGATTTGTTCAGGATGGCTATTCTCTCGGATAAATAGGAGATCTTCTACAGTAACTGGGTCAGTCTTTCCTTGCCATAAAGTCAGACTGTATCTATGAAAACGAGATATTTTGGCATGGGGGACAGATTCTCACAGGCTCTGAAGCAAGGGGCATTCAACACAAGTATTCATTGGAGTTAATAGCTTCAGGCAAGGGCTTTTGACTGGGGAAATGGCGTTGGAAAATAAGGGTTAAATTTTTGCTCCTTTCCTAATTGATCTGAACAAACTGGCAGCCCTCTGTGGCTGAATTTCAGTAAAAACAAAAAACTGGGAGAGATCAATGAAGAAAATTAGGTCTGAGAGAGAAACTGGATGTGATGGTGACAGACCTGTGAATGGATCTCTCTTGACTTTTAACACTTGCTAGCTGCTAACCATGGCGCAATACCATAAAACTCTTTCCTCCAAAGTCCCGGTCTGATATGCACGTGCCTCATGGCTTCTATTAACAGTTCAAAAAATGTGTGAGAGCCAACCAGGGGTATCCCATTGTCATGTCTAGCAGCATCTTTAGGAAGTTGCACATGTTTTGTGTTTGGGAATCTGGAGTTTCAATTATCAACAGTTCTACTTCGGCAGACCTACTGCATATTGGTTTGGATCCAAACGTGGTAGTGCCTCTGTGCAGCAGCAGCTGCTCTGTCAGAATGGTTTTCCATTTGTGGAGGCAATTTTTTTTTTCTTATTCAGCTCTCCCGCTGCAGACTTGCAACTTTCTCCCATATTGCTCCTTCAGGTCTGCTGACCCACAGGAGCACACTTTTGGGAAGCACAGAAGGCTGTAGTGAGAGATGGCAGCTTGGGAAGTGGCCTTCTCTAGTGTAGCTCAGTTTGTGCTGCTCAGGAACTAGGCCATGATTTGCTGGTTTTAAAGGTCCAGGGCAATTCTGCATTGGCTTTTCCCTCCGTTGTTATACCAAACCCACGTTGGAACAGAAATTCCCCCCTGCATTGCACGTGCTTTCACTTTCTTTGATCATCGGCAGGGGTCATTTCCTGCAGGAGCAGAGCTCCAGCAGTAAAGAGCCCAGGGGGCGGGCACATGCAACAAGCCCCACCCCCTGCTCAGTCAGAGCAAGAAGCAGCCAGGTAAGTTGCAGAGCCCCCCCCCCACTGGCCCCCTGGTCCAAAACAGTCCAGTGTCACCTTTAAGACCAAATTTTATTCAGGTACAAGCTCTCCCTCCTCTGTGAGGGCAGATCTGCACGTCCCCCCCCCCAATAGCTAGGAATCCAAAACAGTCCAGTGGTGCCTGAGCGGTGGGTGTTGCCTTCTGACACACTTCCGGTGATGTCAGGGGGTGTGGCATATGCAAATAAGTTATGCTAATGAGTTATGCTAATGAG